CCTTCATCAGAGTGCTTTAAGTTCTCCTCATGCTCGGCAAGCAAGGTTGTGTCATATCGCAGGTTATTAACGATTCCTTCAGGTCTAAACCTATGGTCTTCATACCATCCAGCTTCTCAGATTACCTGGTCAGCATACAGATTCAATGTGTTGTACAGTGAAAGCACACAATACTGATGTACACCTGCGCAGATTGCAACCATCCCCTTGTTCCATCTGAATGGCTCCCTCTCCATCTCTGTACACACTCCTTATGAGCATAGGTAAATGTCCAGGAATTCCCATCCTTCTCAAGGCTATCTATAATTGATTGGAGTCCACACCACTGAATACCACCTTTGCATAGTTAATTAAATACAAGTAAACATTTGTTTTCCTATGAGTACATTTTTATTTGATTTTAAGACATTTATTGATATGTAATTCATGTATCCTACAATGTAATAGTTTAAAAATATTAAATAGAGTTGTTTAATCATCACCACAATCAATTTTAAAACCTTTTGTTTTTTCCTGTACTTGTCTTTATTAGTGGTTTATTGGTATGGGGTTTTTTTTTTGGTATCATGTTTGCCTTTTATTATTATTTTTAATTAAATATTTCTATTGGGGGCTCTTACATCTCTTACCACATTCCATACATTCATCCATTGTGTCAAGCACATTTGTACATATGCTGCCTCATAATTTTCAAAGCATTTTCTTTCTACTTGAGCCCTTGATAACAGCTCTGATATAGTTAATGTTTATTGTGCCAACCTGGCTGATAAACATGTGGGGTTAATTGAAGGGTGGAGAGATAAATGGCTCAGTGAGCCTCGCCTTCCTAGTTCTTGGATCTCTTGCTTTGTGATGGTCGGACCAGGGTGCAGCTGCCAGTTCCCTGATTCAGCTGGCAAGGCTCACTTCCTTCAAGATATCCCTGAGGAGAAGCCACGTGGACCTACCCTGATGCAGCCCTGGATGCTGGAGCAGCCATGTGGAGACCCCTGCCAGTGCTGAGATGCTTACATGTTCACTGATTCGGCTTTCCTCCTGAAGTTGGCATCATTGTGTGTGTTTTGTGAGATAGAGGAGGACTTTGTGGATTGGTGTCAGACATATGGGCTCATGGTGGAATTGTGGCCTTGGGCAGCACTGGGTTGGGATGCTTACCTGATGTGCACTTAACCTTTATATAAAACTCTCTCTTATACATATGAGTTTCTGTGGATTTGTTTCTCTCACAAGCTCCTCATTTTCCCCCTCCCTCCCTCATGAACCCTTGATAAGTTATAGATTATTATTTTCAAATCTTACATCATCCTCTGTTGCCCTTCACCCACTTTTGCTGTTGTTCGTCCCCCTGGGAGGGGGTTATATATTCATCCTTGTGATTGATTCTCCCTTTCTTCCCCCACCTTCCCTTTATCCTCCTGGTATCTCTATTCCCATTGTTGGCTCTGAGAGGTTTATCTATTCTGGATTCCCTGTGTTGTGGGCTCTTATCTGTAGCAGGGTGCATGTTCTGGTCAACTCAGATTTGTAAGGTAGAATTGAGGTCATGATAGTTGGGGGGGAAGGAAGCGCTAAAGAACTAGAGGAACGTTGTGTATTTCATCAGTGCTACACCGCACCCTGACTGGTTTTTCTCTTCCTTGTGACCCTTCTGTACAAGTAAACATTTTTGTCTTATCCTCTGCTTTCAGATAAGATCTATCTGGTATCAGCATCCCTTATTGCATGTCCCCTCCTGAATCTGATTTGAATTCTGGTAGTTCCTGGATGTGCTGCTACAACGATAACTGGGTTTTCATGGACAACATTTTACTTGTGTGAGATATTAGTATTGTTTGGTTGATAATTTACACTTTCTTTTTGATGATCTATCTTTGGAATAGGTAATAAGATGGACCTCTTCCAGTCAGTTGGCCAGGCAGCTGTCTTCCAATGTTCTTGGCATAAACTAGTGAGTATTTCTAGTACTTCATCAGCTTGTTGAGACATTTTAATTTGTAATCTGATAATTCCTGGAGCCTTTTTTTCCAGAGAATCTCTTCATACTTCTCAACATATGGAGTACATATATGCACTAGTGATCAAAATCATATGCTCTCAGGATTATAAATTAAGACAGATTAGGAAGGGGAACCTGGTAATCCACTTCTGAAAGTATGGGCTCCTGACAACGCCCTGCTGTGCAGCATAACCTTGTGTGACCTGACATTGCCAGACGAGTACTCGCGAGGGAAGGCACTCAAACTCGGACCGGGGAAGGGAGGCCTCCTGAAAGTAGAGTCCACCTCATTGATGTCGGGCAGGAAAGCTTCGGGGACTTTCACTTGTGGATGGGGCACAACTCAAAATGCTAGGAAACAGCTGGTGACATACATAAAATTGGAACATGAAATGTCTGAAGTATGAACCAAGGAAAATAGCAAGTTGTCCCAAACGCAATGAATTACATTAAGATAGTTCCTCTCGGTCTTAGTGCACTGAATGGACTGCTAACGACCACTGGGAAGCGGGCAGTGATGAGCAGCATTGCATGCATTGGGAAACAAGCTCTATCCTGAGGGACACCTGACGGTGAAAGGATATACTAGTCATAGTCATATAAGAAAGGACAGATACCCAACTTTATGCACCAGCTCTCCCACGCCACCATTGTATACATTAAGATCTTATGCCGAAGATGATGAAACGGAAAATGTTTACTTCTACAGAGTGAAGCTGATCTAACATGCCATCGAGATGCACTGATAATTTCTGGTGGTTGGAATGTTAACGTGGGAAACAAAGAAGGATCGGCAGTTGGAAAATATGGCCTGGTAGATAGAAATAAAGGCAGGGATTTCATGATAGAATTCTACTAGGCCAGTGACTTACTTGTCACCAATACCTATTCTCCACAATATACATAATGACTATATATGTGAACTTTGCCAAAATACACAGGGTTCAAATCAATTAAGCCTGTGGGAAGGGCATATGAAGAAGGTCAATATCATCAGCCAAAAAGAGGTCAGGAACTGACTGCTCATCAGATGATCACTTGTTATATGGAAGTTCAAACTGAAGCTGAACAAAATTTAAAAAACTAGTCCACAAAAGCCTAATTATGGTCTTGAGTATATCCCACTTGAATTTAGACATCATCTCATGAGTAGTTTTGATGCACTGAGCATTAACGAGCTAAGACCAACCTCACTGTAGAACGACACGTGGTTATCGCACATGAAAAAACCTTACGGTTGTTAAACAGACAGGAAAGGGAGAAAAGACCAAAGTGGATGTTAGAAGAGATTCTGAAATGTGCTCCAGAACGCAGAGAAGGTAAAGTGAAACGGAGAGATGATGAAGGGCTGAGCAGAAGTTAGAAAGGCCTGGCGTTTGAAAGCTGAAGGGGAATAGCAGGCTCAGCGTTTCTCAAGCTGAAAGAACTGAAGGAAAAAGTCAAGCTGAAAAGCTGAAGGATTCTATGGGCAAAATATGAATTGATCCAGGAAGCATCAAAAACAGAATCACTGGGCCAAAGAGAACTGGTTGATGTTTAACCCTTTAAGGAGGTAGCATGTGATCAAGAACTGATAGCACTGAGGGTTGATGAGGACACATAAGTGGAAACATGGGACCAGAACATGAGGTTTCAGCGATGGAGACATAAGAAGCATCCGCAGAGAATTCAAATCATGAGGGGCACACCCAGGATGGATCAAAAGAAAACGGACCAGCAAAGAAAGACAGGTCTGACAGGTCAAAACAGAAAATGGAAGGAAACTGTCACAAGAGGAAAAGCCAGGGGTCAACCCGGTCTGGCGGCCAGAGGGCTCAGATGGCTAAAGAGAAAGATGCAAAAAGTATTAAGGTAAGTAGCTAAATAATTAAGTAGCCACTCCACAATCACTTGCTATTTATAAAAAACAGGAACCCATAAAAGATGCAAAGCTCCCACAAATAATAGACATGCTTTAGAACCGTGGTTTCAGAAAGTTGTTGTAAGGATTAACGGGGGTAAAATATAGAACTGTTCTATATTTTATATTCCACACTGTTCTTAGTGTGGAACAGGAAGTTAAACTTGCAGATATGAGCAGCTTCTAGCACTAGAAACTCACTGCCACTGAGTTGACTGCAACACACACCCACCTGTAGGGCAGAGTTGACGCCCCTCTGCAGCTGCGAGCCTGTCATCTGCATGGAAACAGAACACATCTTTCTCCTGCAGAACAGCTGCCAGCTTTCAAGCCCTGGCCTGCAGGTTAGTAGCCAAGCGCTGAATCACAGTGGCATCAGGACTCCTGAAAGCCTGTTAGCATTTGCAGTTACAAACATAAGCAGAAGGAGGAGTCCTGGTAGCTTCGTGGGTTACTACGTTTACAGAAGATTTAACCCTAGGGAGCAGTTCTATTGTCCTATATGGTGGTTTCTATGACTTGGAATCGACTCAATGGTGGGAGGTAGGCAGCAGAAAGCGGTGGAGAAAAGGAAGAAGGTAGAGAAAGAGAGGGTAACTGTAGATGTCAGGTGCCTGAGGTATGAAGTGACAGTTCAGACCAGGTGGAAGGCGTTCTTTGGTAAAGAGAGAATGGGCTGGTGAAGACAGGTCAAAGCAGTAACACCTGGAGGTGAAGAGAATGGAGCCTGCGAGATGCGGGAGCCTCTAGGACAAGGCTGCCACCTTCTCCATCAAAAGAAGAGCAATGCTTACAGGCTCGAGTCAGGGCAGGGAGGGTGTGATGACCGCCAACTGAAGGGGAAGACGTGCATTCACAATTATCCTCTGCAATATGGTAAGAAGCCAGCCAGCAGTTTGACTTTTGAAACACTTCATTATGTGTTCGACAAACAGCATCTTATTATTTTCACATCCATGTCTTGGGAGTGAGAGAGGTAGTTATATGCTAGCTCCAAAAAGGGAGTGAGGTCAGGGATGTGAAACACGTGACAGCGTAGAACCCAACAGAAAATCGGTAATACAGCTGATATGTAGACACCCCAATATAATGTGAGTTAGTTACCTTCGGCTTTTGTATAGATGGCAACAGTCCCATTGACCAGGCCAGCATACAGATTCTGCGACGTACAGGCTAAGCTCATGACTGTAGACTTCTCAGGAGTGAAAAAGTGCTGAAGTCTCACTTTCTTTGAGCCTTGACTGCTTTTATAAATGGAAATGCTTTAAGACAAAAGTAAAAACTAATAAATATATTTGTTTGCAATGAAGAGAATCAGGGTATCCATTAAATTTATTTATTTTATATTAATTCCTCCTTATTAAAATGGTTATTACTATGACTTCATTCTTTTGTTTTAAAAAAGAAATTTAGAAGAGAAATTATGGGTGATAGAAAATTAGTTCTTCCTATTATTTGCCTTGGAAAGTTACATCAGGAAAATAATTTTAATTTTCCTTTTACATGTATCCATGTTTAATATAAGTATAGAAGAGAATATGGTACTGCTTTATTCTGAAATATAAGTACTTTAAAAAGCATTATTAGAAATAGAAATGTCAGCAGCAAACCATAGGCTAAAACTAAAACTTTTCCACTGAAACAGTTATCATTTCTGCTGTTTGGGAAATTCCTAGACGGATTTCCATGGGCCTAATTCATTATTTCAGAGTGCAGTGCACTCCCTGCCCCCAATTTCCCTATCTATCCCATAATTCTTACACAAACTATTTCCTATGTCAGATTAGATTACTTTCCATCGTAGGCTCCTCCTTGTTTTATTGCCAAGGAGACACAGATGATCACAATGCTTTGTAAAACAGTGAAATGGACACTACCTTCCTTCTTCCGTCCCCACACATATCGTCGGGACATCTAGCGGGCTCACAGCTCCAGTTTCAGAATCAGAGGGCAAGTTAGCCTCTGTAGGCTTCCTTTCCACTGGAATGAAGACCATGCAGAGGATGCGAGACTCCACATTGAAGCATTCAATTACTTTGGGGTTGGAATTTTGAAATGAGATAATGGCGATTTGACCCATTTGATTGGTGCAACTTCCAATCTAAGTTAGGGAGTAGAGAGGTGAGAAAAAAAAAAAGGAAATATAGATGTACAATCATCTCTTCTCAATATACTGAAACGTCAATGAGATGCAATGACAAGAAACAATTTTCATGAGAACCAACAAGCTTAAAAAATAAAACAAAATCTAAACAATCTGCCGATGGTGTCCCATTCCTTTTGCAATACATGTAATAAAGGCTTCAGAAAATCACACTGGCATGCTTTAAAACTCATGCACCTATCATTATAAGAGGGGAAGGCAAAAAGTATTGCTAGTGGGGTTCCAGCTAATATATGCATGGGATTATCCCACACTAAATGGGTTTAAACATGCCTGTGGTTAGTGGGTGGCTGCAGACATATTCTATCACCCAGCACATTTCTCCGGTCTTGTTAGGGGGCTTATGAAAAGCTCCAATCAAACCAATGGTTGTTGAGGGGATCACCTCCTGGGCCAGTTACATTTAAGGCAGAAAGGACAACTCAGAAGGTTCTGATGTGTGGTTGCTTTTTAGGATTCATAAAGGGGTAATCTTAATAGATTTTCTTGAAGAACACAGACAATCATGGGACCTTATAATGAACGTTTAAGAAAGTAGAAAATTTCCTTGGTGAGGAAAAGTCCAAGAAAGTTGTGCTAAGGAATTTTTCCATCCTGCCAATGGACCTCCCTCTTCTGTGAAGGCAGCAAGGCTGCCCTGGAAGAGCCTCATTGACCATCGGCACCGCATCTATGTGACAGCCCTGTTCCTGTCATGCACATTGTCTTTTTCCTCCTCTTGGACTGCTCTTTCCTCCCCAAACAAACAAAAAATTGCAAAGAAACACAACCTGACTCCCTCAAGGCCTTCCAAACTGTCATTTTGATGTGCTTTAAAATGAAGAGCACAAGATTTTTCAGGGGTGGGATAAAGCGATGGAATGTTGCCTTCAGAAATGTACTGGTTTGGTAAAGGTTCTGTTGAGAAACTATAGCTTCACATTTTGACATTTTGTTTCGTAAATGTGTCTACGGTTTTGTAGCAATATTGTTTGACTTATCCTGTAAATGATAAAGGTCTACCCATACATTGTTTACAGTCTTTAAAATGCAACTTATTATGTTATTTATAATTTAACACTACTTGTATCTTTTAATATCAGAAAACCAATCTTTAAAAAAATATTTAAAAATACGCCCCAAAGTGAGTCCCTGGCATTGAACATCAGCACAGCATGCCAGGGGAACCTTGGTGATGCCGTCATCAAACAGTGAACTGCTAGCCAACAGGTTGGTGATTCAAAGGTGCCAGTCCCTCAGTTGGAGAACTAGGAGGCATTTGTCAATTCTAAGTAGCAGTTCTACTGTTTAGAGGTTGAAGTGGTCGTGGTTTGGGATCTTTGTTTTGTTTCGCTGGACAGTGTAAGATATGACAAAATTTATAAATGATCAAGGGTTCATGAGGAAGGGGGTAGTGGGGAGGGAGGAGAAAAATGAGGAGCTGATGTCAAGGGCTTAAGTAGAGAGCAAATGTTTTGAGACTGATCAGGGCAACGAATGTACAAATGTGCTTTATACAGTTGATGTATGTATGGATTATGATGAGTTGTACAAGCCCCCAATAAAATGATTTTTTTAAAATTCACAATATAAAAAAAGTACAATCTCTTAAAATAAAAACCCAAAACAAACCTTCATGTTCCTTATCTATTCTATTAGTGCTCTCAAGTAGATTTCACTCAAAGGAGGCACACGTCCGAGTAGCACTGCCCCCGGCTTGACGCGGCTGTCTCTGTGCAAGAAGGGCCTGGCGGCCTTCTCTCACGTGGAGCGGCTGGCCGGCTCAGGCCTCTAGCCTCCCAGTGGACACTGTGTGACAGGGCTCTCGGTTCGGTACACATCCTCTATTCAACAGGCTCCTGTTTTAACACTCAACCCAGAACATCACCAAAATAGGGACTTTAGCTATCAAAACGCAAGACAAGTCCGAATATTGGCATAGGATATAATGATAGGATTTTTGTGAAGGAAATAAAATCTGGTTAGGAGGCTAAAAAGTAGCATGGAGCCATCCGGGTCTGGTCCTGGGGGTTGCAAGGGACGGAGAACGCCAGGAGAAGAAAGCCAGGGGAGAGCCTTTAAACTCTGGAGCGCTGAATGTCAGCTCAGGTTTCTAGAGCCAGAAGTGCCTGCTGCAGCTGCAGTGGAATTTTGAATGCTGTATTTCACTGGGAACAAGTTCATTTCAATGGTTAAGTTTCCAGTGCTAACAAGCTAACAATGTCTTGGCAGGGGAAAGCAAAACAAAGGCCAGTGCAATTTAACCACTGAATTGAAAAAAGTTGAAATTATTCTCATATTAAATAAGCTGTCTGGGAATTGAATTTAGCCTGGCAAATTTTTAGATTAAAAAAAATAAAGAATCACATTGTTCAGAACATCTTCTCCAAAAGCAACCAGAACCCTTTAACAAGAAGGGTTCATGTTTATAAGTATAGCCGGGGCCACACGTGAAATGACAAGATTTTATTGAGTAACTGAAATAGATCTTTCTCATTATGGGTACGGATTATCAATCAAAACAAACACGCATTTCTGGATGGCTGATTGAGGATAACGGGGTGAGGGGGAAGTTGGAGGGAACTGAGGAGCAAGTAACGAATCCAGGAGTGAGGCGGATGCGCTAGAACTGACAGTGGTGATGTATTTACAACTCGTTTGGAGTACGATGAAACTATAAATGATATGTGATACATCTCTCAGTAAAACCATTGGAAAAACAAAGTTTCTTACCCACAGGAAACCATGTGCTGCAGAGAATGAATCTGGTTGATTTTCGTTATTTATGTAAGGTTCAGGATTATAAGCAGCACATTCAATCTACAACGAAACACAAATAAACAGCCACATATTATGTGGAATTAGGAGGCGTCTAGACTACATAATGCGGTGATGGATGATTATACTTTGGACATGTAACCACAGACACAACAGGTCATTGCTTATAAGAGATTAAAACAGAAAACCTCAAAGATTAAAGTACAGGTCTCAGAAATGAGCCTTTCAAAGGCAAACATGTAAGCACTTTTGTGCATTGGTACTTTGTTCTTCAGTCTCCAAAGGTCAAGCTGAGAACTGCTGTCACGGAGCATGTCAGACAGCAGGCTTGTTCGCTGCGAGATAGAAGCAAGCTTGCAGGGAATGCACGTTTCTCTCTCCACATTTTCTCCGCAGTCACAGCCATCCCAGGGACACACTGTGCAGCAAGCGTTCTGACATGAGGGCACGCTCTCTCTCTTTTAAGGTTAGAGTATTAAATGTTGTATTTCGGGAAAAGGGTAAAGTTAAGTATCTGGATTTTCCTTAAGCGATATAAATATACACATTCACTGGTGCGTTTCAAAGGCACAGCTTCCAATGGAGTGGCTTCTCCCTTGCATAGTCACAGGAACTATGGGAGACTCCCAGCCTTCAAGTTTATGAGTTGGTCAGAGACTAAACATGAGAAATAAAAATGTTTCTACTTATTTATTAATGAAAAGGACGTTATGACTGACAGTCACTGAATGGCTGAGGGAATCGACTTGTGCCTGAATTGACAACAGAGCACTTCAAGAAAACCCTCCTTTTATGATGGAGTCTTGCTTTGGCAAGAGTGGGAACATGTCAAGAAGAAATGAGGCCTCTATTATGATCTCTTTTTAGCAACCCTTTGCCAAGCGAAAGCATAACAGCATCGACAAATCTGAACCAGGTGCCTCCCTTGTTTAACTACGAATGCCTTGACTGCAGCAGCACAGTTTTAATACTGCAGTGTCCTGCAGGGAGTGAGCACTAGGAACAGGCTTCAAAGTCAGCAGCTTAGCAGACAGGTGACTTTCTGGGTTTAAGCTAAAATAATCTTTTTTATTTTTTAAGCTAAAATAATCTTAAATTATTTCTAAATCTATTAGAAGTTCTCAAAATACGTGACCTTGAAAGATAATGGTTTTAATTATGTCTCTTAAGAGTAATTTCCTAAGTACATAAAATGAAAGCATGAGTGGAGGTGAAACCTGCAACAGAAAACGACTGCCCTTTACCTTGAACTCCTGTTGCTTGGCTACCATCACGGGCATGTATCGAACAAGGAGAGGGTGCTTTTCCTTCTTGATTTGATTCCCGTCATCTTCAACACAGAACCAACCCAGATGGTTCTCCTCCTCTGCAATTGTATTCCAAGAGAAAATAAGCAAAGAGAGGACTTGATTTGCATTTAACGTAACCTGCAAATTCAGGAATGTCATACCAATAGAACATTCCAACTCTCCCCCGAAGATTGGAATACTAAATGTTTCATTTCTGGAGAAGAGTGAATTTAAGGGTCTTAATCTTTTCTTCAGAGATGTAAATATGCATATCCATTGCCTCATTTCAAAAAGCACCACAGCACACATCTCAGGGACCACCCCATCTTTCTGCTTGTGCTAAAGGGCAGGTAGGAGCAGGGATGCGGGTGCCTGAGCATGTCTCTCTCTGTAAATCACATAGGATTGATTTTTTTCTTTCAAGGCAACTGTGTAGCTTGAATTCAAATACCAGAGATATCCACAGAAAATTGTTAACATGGTACACCATATGAGATTTTAAAAGGATAACAAAATGAAGAAACAGCTGGCTACAAATCCCAAAGGTCCTTTAGTTTTGATCATGTACTAAAGCTAAAGATTAAAAAAGGGTTTCTTTACAGGTTAAACCTATTCTCTTTAGACAGGGAGGCATTTACTTGTCTGCTACTTTACCTTGAACCTAACTTGATAAACCACCAAATTATTCAGGAAGAGAGAAAGTAGCTAAGTTGTTGCTAAGTTCCTCTTCAATTGAACACAGTCAAATTCAGGAAGGGTTCCATTTCACAATAAAAGCCCTTCCACTAATCATGGTCACAGTTCTTTGCTGCATTTTCCTTAGCATTGTCTTTTCTGTTAAAACTTGTTTCCCTACAACTGAAAGAGAATCTCTCTTTACCCTTCACACACACACAGACACACACACACACACCACAAGGAGCCCCATTCCGAGTAATGGGTTTATCTCTGTGTATGTAATATCAAGGAGGCTTGGAGGTGCAGTGAATTGAGTACTGGGCTACTAATCCTAAGCTCTCTTGCTCAAAACCAGAAGTTAACTGCTCCTGTGAAGATTTACAGTCTTTAAAACCCTGTATAGTATCACTATGAGTTGGAATCGACTTGACAGCAGTTGGTTTGTTTGGGTTTGGAGTGGGGGATATACAAATTAGAAGGAGCCCAGGGGAGGGGTGGGTTCAAATCCACCAGCCACTCCATGGGAGAAGACTGTAGCAGTCAGCTTCCATTCCAAAGACTGACAGCCTAGAAACCCTAACCCTATGGGGCAGCTCAACTCTGTCCTATAGGGGTGCTATACTTTAGAATGGCTGCTAACTGGAAAGTTGATGGCTCAAGCCCAACCATTCTTCAGGAGAAAGACGTCTACTTTCTTAAATATTCCAGCCTGGGACACTCTGGATACCCTACACTCTGCCAAGGGGTCCCTACGAGTCGGACAAGTCCAAGGCAAGGAATGGGTTCCATCTATCTCATTAGCCAAAACAGCATTGCTAAGAGGGACACAGGGTGCAAGAAAATAATTATAAAGGCACATCCATCTCTGATAGAGCTACAGGGCTTCTTTTTAGTACAGAAAGGTCTTCAGCGTGAGTCAGTTCAATCCCTCTATGTTGCTGAATAGGAGAGCGAGGGCAGGAGGGCAATGCCTTTCTGGCGCTGGAAGGCAGCCTGGACCGAACCCAGGGCTTGGAGGCCCAACTAGGAGCCAGCGGGGGAAGGCTGTTACTTCAGCTGAATAGTATCAATTCATGTTAATATTTCTTACAGTAAAATTCAACACTTTTCCCCTACAACTCCCAAATTATAATATAAACGTTTTAAACATCATTTTTTTCTGGAGTTAATTTTTGCCTTTTAAAACCTACTTTCAGATTAATGGATAAATCCATCATTTAGTTTACTTCTAACCATGATTTTTATCCTCTTATATTTCATCATATTGTAGAAAACTCTCCAGAGGACTATAAAATGTACATTGTCTCTTATTCGAACATGCCTCATTTAGCTTAAATCACGAACTCTTACCAAGGGCAAGCTTAGCCATCTGCAAGTTGTTGATCCAAGACTGTTTGATGGCAGGGGTAAATGTATTAAACACAGCTGTAAAGAAAGTAGGTCGCCCAGACCTGCCAGAAATAATAGAAAAGCAATCATTTTATAAAATGTGCTCCATCATATTAAATTAAGTTACATATCTTGCCCGTCCAATATAATCACCAAACCAAGAAAACACACAAAATCATGACAAAGAATAATTTTCTCTATATTGACCAGGAAAGTTTCATTTTTAAGTCACTACTAACTTGTCCTGCTTCCCTGGGAGTTGTAACTGAATTCGACAGCAATCAGCAGCTCTGATTTCTTCTTCTTTCTTCAAAATAAGTCTTTGTAAACCTGATGTCCAATCATGGGCTACAGACTGGTTTAAGTTCTGCAAAGAAAATACACGTATACATTTTAAATATTCAAGTAAAATAGCATCATCCAAAGGGTGAGAAGAACAGCAAAGCTAAAACATGGAGAATTCAGGGAGGCCAAAGAATGCTGCCTGCTGAGGCATCAGTCACAGTGTGCTTTCGCTCAGACGTTCCTAAGAATATTCAAGAAGAGTTCCATTTCAATTGCTCCCCTACCCAAACTGTGAGAACATATACAATTAGATCCTTTTGAAGATCTAAAATGAATTCCTAGGGTTGGTGGAACTTGGAGATACATGCCTACCTTTATAAAGAAGTGATGAAATTTTAAATCACACTGCTCTGAATCATTACCTGATAGTTTCCTTTCAGGGTTCCTATCAGTTGAGAGATCTGACCAATTACATTCAAGTCATGCAACAAGTTTTGTAAGTCTTGGTAGAGTTGTCCTGGTCCCATGTAAACTTTGTCTATAAAACAAGCAAAAGAAAAGAGTACTAAATCCACATGTCATTCCAAGGATTAGAAAGCATGACGATAAACTCTGAGTACTGGGGGCAAAAGTGGAAGAAAGTTAGGATTTTTAAAAAGTGAATATTTCAAGTATGCAATATCTTTTCCCTTCCTGACTTTTCATTTTGAAATAATTTTAGATCTAAAGAAAAGCTTTTTTTTTTTTTAAAGCACCAAGTGTTCTGCTATCCAATTCCCTTACTGTATCTACTCGAGTATAAGCTGAGTTTTTCAGCACATTTTTAATGCAGTTTTTTTGGTAAAATTAGGTGCCTCAGCTGATATTCAGGCCAGCTTATACTTGAGTATATACGGTATTTCTTCTACTGGTAACAGTACAGTGATCAAAACCAGAATCTTGTACAGATACAACACTGTTAGCTAATCTACAGACCTCATTCGAATTTTGCCAGTTTTCCACTAGTGCTGTCTAACTAATTACTTTAGTCCAGGATCATATGTGTACTTAGTTGCCTGCTCTTTGTAAATCGCTCCCATCCTGGGACACTTTTTCAATCCTTTTTCTTTCATGACATTGGCATTTTTTAAAGAATTAAGCTAAGGAATGTGCCAAAATCTAAGGCTGACTGTTGTCTCACTTTTAACATACTTGGAAAAAAAAATAGAGATATACTTACCATTCATGAGTGGTATCCAGAAGTGATATTTAATCTGAATCAAATTATCCCAAACTGGAGTTATTAAACATCAAAATGAGTTCCTTGGTGAGCTCTCTAAATTTTTTAATAAATTGGATAAAGAAAGGTTTTTGTGCCATGGTTTGTTAGTGTTCATAAAGCCTGTCTTTGGCCCTAAATGCCTAAATAAAAATGGTATTAATGAGTGCTTAATGTGCATGATTTTCAAATATTTTCTCATTTAGTCCCTATAACATCTCACCATTTATTGATGAAACTGCCTATAAATACACACTTAGAAATACATAAGATTTCAACTCAGAAATAAATTCAAAGCAATATGAAGAGGTACCCACCAAAAACTGGAATTTTTTTTTTCAAAGTTATGTATTTAAATTTTTTTTTTTACAAAACCACCCTATCCCCTTCAAAGTACTCTCCATTCCACTGAATGCATCTGTCAAATCTGCGATTCCATTCTTGGAAACATCTTTCAAACTCATCTGTTTGGATGCCTGACAGCACCTCCCTCATTTTTTTCTTCACCTCTTGTGTCATCAAATTGCTGTCCTTTCATGTCCCTCTTCATTAGCAGAAACCAAAGGAAGTCACATGCAGCGAGGTCCAGTGAGGAAGGTGTGTGGGGCAAGAGGCATGCTGTTTTTTTGCCCCAAACTTGCACATTGAGATGGCTGCTTGAGGCAGGTGCATTGTTGTGGTGGCAAAACCAGTCCCCTGTCAGCCACAAATCAGGCTTTTGGTGTCTCACACTGTTATGCAATCTTTTGAGAAACTCTAAATAGGAAGCTTGATTAACAGTCTGACCTGGTGGAACAAAGTCCAAGTGCACTATTGTGGGATTATAAAGAGACTTTCCCCCAGCTTTGTCTCTCCGAAAGACATGCCAAATTTTAGAGGCTTTTTGCCAGCATATGGTGGGAGGTCAGATGACTCCCTGAAGGCAGTCAGTTGCCAGACAACTGTCTGGGCCCACCAAGGGTAGGGCCTGCTCCCTGCTGTTAAGGACAGTGGGCTGCTTCTCCCTAAAGGCTTGTGACCATTAGCTTGGCTCCTATAGCTGGGGTTTACACCCTACTGATAATGGTTTCTATGGAGATCCAGAGAACAGGTCAAACCGGCTCAGTGACATCCAAAGTTAGGCTGCCATCCTGATTCTAGGATCCATCCATCTAGTCACGTGTATACCCCCAATCCCTCCTCTTCCTATTGCGTGTATATCCCTAGATTGTCCCCCTCTCATTGCTGTATTTCCTATAGTACAACCCCTTCCTGTGACGTATGTCTTTACCTGTAATTAGGGGGCTTCTATGCCGCCCCCCCCCCCCCACCAAGGTATATAGGCCTGGGTTAGCAATAAAGAGCTCTCTCTCGGCTCCCCTCTTGGCCTCTCATCAGCTTCCCCTCTCCTCTCCTGTCCAGCTCCCCTTCTTCTCCCCCCACCCCTCTCCACATGGACCACCAAGTGGGGCTGAGGTGAGCATGCTACCACGAAACGTGTCTGACTCCATTACTCCAATCTTATGCTCTAGATAGCTTTATTATAATCTTTATATATCTCAACAGTACAATTGCGATTAGTTGTGGGGGGCTGGCCCTCCCTGACCCTCCCTCTACACACTATCCCCCTCACATCAAAATTACAAATGAACATCATTTTGATCTTTGATTTCACTGGACGAGCTTTTGGGGGGAGACAATGGTGGCATCTTCCACTGGCTTGATTGATGTTTGCTTCCAGGCTCGTAAGAATAGCACCATGTCTCACCACCAATAATGACCTTGGGAAAAGTCTGGGTTGTTTTGGAGCTGTTCTTTCCACACCAGCTCCTTTTCCTGGTCACCCAGGGCCTGAGGCACAAACCTCACAGCGACCCTTCTCATTCCCAAATCTTCTGTTAAAATTCACTGAACCAAGCTCCAAGATAGTCTAGGTAACTTTCCCATGTTTTCAACACTCTGTCATCAGTCTTCAAGGAGAAGTGTGTCAATTTTTTGACCTTTTTATCCGTTCAGGAAGTTGACGGACATCCAGAATGAGGTTAGCCATCAATTGACATTTCACCTTTCTTGAAAGGAGAAAACCACTCATTTTTCCCCATAGTGGTATCCCTGTAAGCTGTGTTCAATATCACAACAGTTTCTGTGGCATTTTTTCCTAAGCAGGAAAGAAAATCTCACAGCTGCACACTGTTCTCTTAAATCAGCCATCACACAAAAAGCAAAACTGCTTTTATGAAAAGAAATTCACTGCGACCAGAGAGAACCTTCCCCAGTGATTCCACTAGATGCACTAACTCAGAGCAAGTTGCTTGATGCTTGCTTGCCTGCCTAGGGGGTGGGGGGATGTGTACTACAAAAGCTCCGCCCATCAGAGCTTTTATCTATTTTTGGGGGCGGGTACCCCCTCATATCCCAATGATACCTAAAGTTTTCCACTCTTAAAATAGTTAACTTGTCTAAGGTTATACAACCAGGAAAGAAGTAAACCAGTACTCAAATCCAAATTGAAAAGGAAATTAATTTGGGTTGAATAAAGTAACAATTTTTTAAAATTTGTCTTTCAACAGGTCAGCTTCTTGGGCATGTGGGCTCTATAGTCATCATCCAGGCTATGATGTTTTTGTGTGCCAATATGGCTTTCATAGGAAAGTGTGGGTAGGATTTAGCCTGTCAATCAGGCTGCAGTTTGACTGGAAGGCAACTGAGATAAATGGCTTTCTGAAGCGGGCCTCTTCCTCTTTCTCCCTGATGATTGGACCAACGTGCTACTGCCTGAGTTAACTGTTCTGCCTCAACTGTGTGTTGTGCTACCGGTGAACCAAGCCAACCAGTGGATCATGGTGGATGGTTTCACCTTGCTGTGCTACACCTTGAGGCTCCATTTTGAACAATTTCGACCATGCTGAGCTCTGTTATGTCTTGAAATCTCATCTTCCTGTTGTTGCCGGCCCAACTCAGGCCCAACTCACCGTGCCTGCTGCGTGCAGGCCTACTCTACTTAACTTGCATTTCCTGACAGCTACTTCGCTGTTTGCTTCCTTGACCTTGGCCCAGCTGCCCCCAGGAGTTGCAAGGTCCTTCAGCATATTAACTGCCCCATGAGAGTGAGTTGAACGCCACCCTCTGTATGCTGTGTGGATTAATAGGCTGTTGTATTCCATCTTGTTATATAAACCCATCCTGGTTTTGTTTCTCTAGAGAACGCTGCCTCACACACAAGGTCTCTGGGCTTGGTGGCTGAAATATTATAAAGTTGATTATCTTGAAATTCTTGGACAAGGGATCCTGCATTTCTAGTTTGTCTTGCATTCCAATCATATATTCTGCTCAGTCCTTGAGAAGATATATAGGGAGGTATCATATATTTAAAGCAGAAAAAAATCTCTCCCTATATATTTCCTGATAGAAATATTTCAGATACCGGAAAAATACTCAAGCCCTAACTGAAGATTCAGATAACCACATTTGTAACTTGCAGGCTCTCCATGGTAAAGAGAGAAAGTTGAGGCTTCCTTTCTGTCTCAGAAACCCCAGGGTCAGCTCTACTCTGTTCGATGGGGTCAGGTGAGTTGGCACCATCTCTCAGGGTTAGGCCCAGTGGATGTTTGTGCATATTGGAGGAGTGGGTTTTCTTTCAGCCCCCACTAGGCAAATGGTACAATTAATTGCATTTTCAAATATTTTCATGAAATTTCACCAAAAGAAGGCAAAACATGTATCAAACTTATTTCTTCCTTAACAGTACTTTAAATTGAACTTTAAAATATTTTTACCTAATAATGCAAATATGTGCTTATAGAGCTGATGGCAAAGCCAATGAAGACAAGTTTATGATAAAGTTAGTCTACATTTAGGGTTAAAATATTTATTTGAAATTATTATAGAATCAAATCGACCCTTTTGTTGTTGGCATGCATTTAAATGAGTTTTATGCCTGCACAGATTCTTGCAATCGTCACCACACAGCATACAGAACAGTCCTCTCATCTCAGGAAAGCCTCTTGTGCTTCCCTGTACAGTCTGTTCGCGATCACTCTAAATTTTTTTTGCCCTTTCAAGAACAGAGTATAAATTAAATCCACCTCTATTTTTAACATCCATACATCACATATTTTTATAAGTATTCAACTGATTTGACATTTGTTAAGAAGAATTCCTTAATTTTGGAGCACAAATGCCCAACTTGGATCATAATTGTATTACTCCAGTCATCAATAGCATAACCGAAACATGACACAATTACCCCTAAGCATAAAGAAAATCATGAACATACCACTAACCCCACTGAAAGATGCTGC